GTCTCAGGATGGTAAGCGTGACTGTAGTTTCCAAGCGTTTTGATAGATTAAGACATTCTAAATGGTCAGAGTACCCTGGGGGAGCAAAAGGGGAGTGTTTAGAGTAATCCAAGATATCATGTAGGACCAAATTCAGGAAACATAAAAGTCACAGAGTCTGGGAGACTTGGAGAGTCTTGGGAAGGCAGGGGTATTAGAGAGAAAGAATGTCATAGGAGGCAGGGCGTTCTGAGCCTCAGGATTTTTATCATGTCAGAACATTCTTGAAGTGTCCTTATAACATCATTAACTTTGAGGTCAGGGTGTCCTGGAAGATCAAACTGTTCTCACAGAATCAGGATGTCTTAGACGTTGGGCTGACTGGGTGATTCCAAGAGTCCTGGAAATTCTGGGAGTACAGAGCTGGCAGGGTTTTCAGGTAGGTCAGCACACCCTGTTGGTATCTGAATGTGTGAAAATCAGGTATTCTAAGGAGGTCAACGTTTTCTGGAGACCTGGTGGTCCTCGAGAGTTTGAATAGACTTGAATGGACCTGTTGTGGAGCCGAGTGTCAAGGTGTCCTTGTACAGTCAGAGCAGTGTCGGGGATCAGAGGGTCCTGGAGGACCAGAGGATGCTAGGCAGCCGTGACAGGACCCAGGGAGTCAAGATATTTTGGTGGCTCAGGGAATGTTATGGAGTAAGTCTCTTGAAGGGAATGGTTTCCTTGAGAGGCTAGGATTTCTTGAAGGTTAGAAAAATCATCTTTTGCATTCAAAAGGTCCAGGTGGGTCAAAGCTGTTCTGGGCTGTCTGTGTGTCGGAGGCAGAAGGAGGTGTCAGTGATTAGGGTGCCTGCTGAGAAGTCTAGGGCTGAGAGAGTTAAAGGACACTGGTTAAAGTATCCTGACATCAGATGTCCTGATGTGCCAGGGTACCTCAGAGAGTCTGGGCGCTTTGGGAAATCAGTATATGTCTTTACCTGGTCTGAATGTCCTATGGGTCAGGCCTGTATGATCAGAATATCTCCTGGGCTGGGTTTGGGAGTTGAGCGGTTTTCCAGTGTCAGCATGCCCTTTGCAAGATTAGAACCAACCAGGGCTTCTGAATAGACTGAAGGGTAGGATGCCCTTGAGTATCTGGATCCTTTCAGGTCAGGGAATTCCTTATAGGGTCAGAGTTTCCAAAATCTCTATGGGTCTGGATGTCCTAGAGGGTCGTGGAGTCACTGTGAGTTTAAGCTACCATGCTGATTATAAGGTACTGAAGTCAAAACTTGTTGGAAGGCCTGGCCAGGTGTCTCTCAGCCATTGAGCATTGACCTAGGATCCAGGAGATCAGGATTCAATTCCCGGTCAAGGCTCATGCCCAGGCTGTGGGTTTGATCCCCAGCTGGGGGCGTGCAGGAGGCAGTCGATCAATGACAACTCTCTCATCATTGATGTTTCTCTCTCTCTCTCTCCCTCTCCCGTCTTCTCTCTGAAATCAATAAAGATATATTTAAAAACTAAACTTGCTGGAGGGCCATGAGTCCTAGGGAGTGAATGCATTCTTTGTGCCCTAGGCAATCAAGAATCTGATAGGGTCAGAATGATTCTGAAGGCTAGAGCCTCCTAGGAACTCTGGTAACAATAATAATGATATCAAAGTAACATTTTCATCTGCTTACTATTTCAGGGCATAGTTCTAAATGCTTCTCTTATTAATTTTCAATCATTACTTAATCAGGTAGGTACAAGTGGTCTTCATTATTTGTGGATTCTGTATTTGCAAACTCACCTACTCACTAAAATTTATTTGTAACCCCCAAAGCCAATACTCTTTTGCAAGGCTTTTTGCATGTCTGGTTATCTGTAGCCATGAACACGCATGGAGGGGTGAAAATTTTGAGTTCCCACATATCTAGATGAGGTAAAACAAGGCAACTGCCCTGCCTTTTTGAATCAGCTCTCACACTATATACAGGTATCTTTTGCATTCTAGTTAGCGCTGTTATTTTTCACATTTTTGTGCTTTTGGGGGTAATTTTGCTGCTTAAAATGCATAAAAGTTGAAGTGTTGTCTGGTGTCCCTAAGTGCAGGAAGGCCATGACGTGCCTTATGGAGAAAATACATGAGCCTTAGATGAGCTTTGTCCAGGCATGAGGTATAGGATTGTTGGCTGTGAGTCCAATGTTAATGAATTAACAAAATATATTAAGCAAGGTATCTTTAAATGGAAACACACATGCAACAAGGTTCTGTATTGACCAGTTGACAAAAATATTGTGTTCAGAGGCTCACAGGAACCTATTTCACCGAGGAGCAATGGTTCAGTGTTCACTAATTCAGTGTTTGTAGTGACTTTATGCGACATAACTATCTACTTCAAATAAAGAGAGTGAACTGTGTTAACTACCCCAGGAGATAAAGCTGTTGCACAGAGATATTAAGTAATGAGCTCAGAATCACATAGCTAGTAAGAGGTATAGGTAGGATTTGAACCCATGGCAGTCTGGCTCCAAACCTGTGCTCTTTCCTATCACACCACTCTGCTTCTTGTAGGACAAGGTTACTGGGTCAGGGATCCTTGAAGGTCAGGGTTGGGGGGATCAGGGTGCCCTAAAAGACCAAATGCCTGTAAATCTTCCAGCCTCCTAAGGATTATGATATTCTGTGATGTCAAGTCAAAGTCATGGTGTCCTGGTGTCCTCAGGGAGTAGGACTAGTGGACCAGAGTTTCTTTGTAATATCAAAATGTCCTGAGAAATTAGGCTGTCCTGGATGGCTGGTCAGGGTTCCCTGGCAGTGTTAAGGTATCGAGGCATCAGGGTATATTGGAATTCAATGTTTGCACCCAAACCTGGCCGCTCCCACTGCTTGCTGGATTGGTCTTCTCAGCTGTCTCCTGACCCCAGTGGCATCATCTTTCGATTGGCAGTGGGCAGGGGGTGCTGGAGACCGGATTCATTCTAAGTAGATGGGTGATGATAGTGGCTACTAAGGGGGCGCTTGTATTTTATCCGAAATTGGAGTTGAACTGTCTACACAGAGGAGACCGCATCCACTCCTCACCCTCTCTTTAAAGTACTGCTCTGGTGGCTCCAAGTCCAGACAGTTTCATCTCCACCCCCACTCCCAAAAAAGTGTCCAAGTTGACTGCATGTTACTGGGTCTCTGGAGGTCATGGCTATCATGGAGCTCAGGTTGCTCTAGGAGGTCACAGCATATCTTGGAGTAGGGGAAGAAGGGTTGGTGTCTTGGATCAGGGTTTCTCAACTTTAATCTTATTGCGGACTGAATGTTTGTGCCTCCTTCCAGTTCATAAGTTGAAGCCCTAACCCCAATGTGATGAGTATTTGGAGGTGGGGGCCTTTGGGAGGTGATTAGGGTTAGATGCAATGGTGAGTGTGGGGCTCCCACGATGGGATTAGTGTCTTTGTCAGAAGAGGAAGAGACACCAGAGCTGGTTCACTCTCTGCATTGTGAAGACACAGAAGATGGCTGTCTGCAGGCCAGTGAACAAGCTCTCTCCGGGGTCTGAATCAGATGGCATCTTGATTTTGGGCTTGCCCAGCCTCCAAAACTATAAAATTAAATGTCTATTGTTTAAGCGACCCAACATTTGGTTTTGTTTGTTTATTTGTGGGGTTTGGTGGTAGTGTTTTTTGGCAGTCTGAGTTGAGGGAGACAAATGTACATTGAGGTCCCCTGGGGATCTTGCTGCAATTCAGATCCTGACTCAGTAGAACTGTGGTGGGGCCAAGATTCTGCATTCTTAACAAGCTCTCATATGCTTCTGATGCTTTTGATTCATGGGCTATATTGAAAGTCTCAAGGTCCTAGAGGATTATGATGATTTTCTGTCTTAACTTGTCAGGGTGCTTTTAAAGGATGCATGTGAAGGATTAGCATGACCTTGAGGATCAGACTGTTGTATGGGTGCAGTGTGTTCTAAGGGGGTTAGGGTGTCCCCATTGGGTCAGTGTGTCCTGAGAACTCAGAACTTCATAGTGGGGGTGCAGAGGATCTCCTAGTAGAGGTGGAATGTTCTGGGTTCCAGTGTGTCCTAGAGGATCCTAGATTCCTGGGGTACCAGGTTGTCTTTAAAGGGTCAGGATGCTCTAGTAATGTCAGAATGTGCTTGTTGGGTCTGTGTAGCCTCAAGAAGCAGTGTACTGTGGGTGTCAGATATCCTGACTGCTCGGGGATTCTGGAGGCGTCAGGGTTTCTTTGAACAATCCGAATGTCAGACTGTCATGTGAATCTTTGTCTCCTGCAGAGTCCTGAGGCCCAGGGGGGCCAGGATGCACCTAGAATTCAGATGCTTTTTAGGGTCAGAGTTTTCTGAAAGTCTGAGCAACCTTGGAAGATCACGGAGTCCTGGGGCTCTGGGTGAATGAGGAGGTGACATTGAGAGGGGGCAAGCAGAGGGTACTTGAGAACTGTGGTGTCCTGGAGACTCATCCTACGGTTCAGGTTGTCCTCAGGGGTGTCTAGTGTATTCTGAGAATCAGGGTCTCTCAGAGGGGCCAGAATGCACTTGTGTCAGTCTTTTAGTTTTCTGGAAGCAGGCCTCTGGGTATCACCCGCAGGCCCATGCCAGGCAGGCCCTGCTCCTGGCCCCATTTGCACCCTCCCTCCTGGTAGGGTTCTGAGGAAGGGTCTCAGGAGGAATGTGGTTTCCCCTCCTTCCCCTGCCTGCTCCCAGGAGGGGATTTAACAGGACAAAAGAATTTGTCCTCTGGGAATAGGAGCTCTTGGCCCCAGTCCCTGGACCCTCCAACAGAGCACCTTCCCTCATCCGGCTTGTGATCCTACCCTGCTGAAGGGGCTCTGGTGACCAGGCAGTGATTGGATGGGCCCACAGGGCCAGGAGGAGGTCATTCCTTCGAGACTCGGGAAAGGGGCGGTGTGGGGTTGCAGGCTGGGCGAGGAGGCAGCTGAGAGCCAAGGGAGAGAGCGGAGGGCAGGAGAGAAGGGGCAGCGAGAGGGAAGGAGACAAAACGGAGAAACGGGGTGAGGGCAAGGCAGAGAGAGAGGTGACGCTCAAGCAAAGGACTGGGGAATCAGAAAAAAATAGAAAAAAGGAGAGGCAGTGAAAAAACGAAGATATCTATCTATATCTACACAGAGAGAGAGACTCAAGAGAGGTATAAACAGAGGAGGTAACAGGCCTAGAGGTAAGCAACAGGAAGGGAGAAAGGCTGGCCCAGCTTTAGCGACGCGGGGACACAGACCCCACGCCCAGGGTGTGCGCTGTTCGGTATGGAAGTAGAAGGAAGGAGCGAGCGGGGCAAGCGAAGGAAGGGGCGAGTCTGCAGCAGCGTCTGGCAGAGTCTCCAGAGCTGCCCGGCCACTGGGACTCAGGCCTCCACGGTGGGTGAGTGACTCCCGGGGGTGGTCCTGAGCAGGCCGCAGGTGTGGGGCTCCAGGCCTGGGCTCCTGCGGGGCAGTGGTTTGCCATAGGGAAGGTGAAGAAAAGAAATAAAAAGCAGAGCCCTAGGAGGTTAAAACCGTGGGTGCCTGAGAGGGCCTGGGCCGCTCCTTCAGCTCACGGGCTGGGGAACCGAGGCCCTGGCGGTGACGCGCTGCTGAGCAGCACCCAGCGGGGGGCAGAGGCGACGCTGAGTGTCCTCACTCCTGACCTCAGAGCTTGCCCACCGCACCGCCTCCTCTGGAGGAGAGGGCTGGCGGGGCCAGGGTTTGGGAGCTGAGGACAGCAAGGGACCAGTGGCTCAACCCATCTGGGTCCCCAAGACAGACGGTGAGCCCTGGGTCGGGCCACACCCCTGGGTCCCCATGGGGATGGGGAGCCTCCGCTGCAGACATCTCCTCTTCTGTGCGTGCCTTCCAGGTGTTTCTTTTCTCTCCTGTTCTCTCTTCCCCGACTGGCTCTCAGACTAATTAGTGTGGGGGCTTAGTGAGCCTGTGGGAAGGACAGGCGAGCCTTTCCCACGAGCTCAGGTTCCTGCAGCCAGCGGCCCCGCCAGGGCCGGAATCAGGCAGAAGATGAAATGTTCAGAGGGGAGGGTTGTCCGAGCGGAAGGGGGGGAAATGTTTTACCCTCCCTGGCGAGGGGTGTAGGAGGATGGGAGCCTTATAAAGAAGGTTTCAGGGGACTGTGAGCCTGAGAGCAGGGACAAGTGATGGGGTCCTAGAGACCTGAGCCGTTTGTTAGGGTTTCCGAGCGAACAGGCGATCCACAGGCTGTGACCCAGGAGGTGACGTGTGCTCAGAGAGGTGAAAAGCACGCGTAGAGGCACGTTACATGGGGGCGTATCTGGGGGAGGGGAATAGGGCTGGGCATGCCCTGGAGAGGTGAGGCTGCCAGGGCCTGAGTGCCCAGGGTGTGAAGTGAGCCTGAAGAGCGGACCCCATGTGGAGAGGGCAGCCCGCCTTAGGACACTCAGAGGGGAAGCAGGGCCGAGGCTGAGCTGGGTTCCTAGTTATGGAAGCTGCAGGGCGTCTGTCTGGGGCCAAGTCTGTGTGAGGAGCAGAGGGGCACAGCACAGACCCTCCGGGGAACAGCATACGAGGTCCGGGAATGGATGGTCGTCCACCGGGCAGCAACCTCTCCCTTCCCCTCCGTCCCCAGACATGAGCACTCAGCCCTGCAGGAACCTTTCTGGTGCAGCGGTGGGGACACCAAGGCTTTCCCCGCACGGAGAACGGAGAGGCCACCCGCACTCCCGGCGCCGCCACCGCACCACCTTCAGCCCAGCGCAGCTGGACCAGCTGGAGTCAGCCTTTGGGAGAAACCAGTACCCTGACATTTGGGCCCGAGAGGGCCTTGCCCGGGACACCGGCCTCAGCGAGGCCAGAATCCAGGTGATGCCCCGTCCTCAGCAGCCCTGGTGCTGAGGCACTCCCGGGACACAGGCGCTCCCGGGCATCATAGCCCAGCCTCAGTAACAGCCTCGCCCACCAGTCACCATAAGCTCATCCGCACCGAGTTCACCCTAGTGCCACCCTGATCTAACTTGAATTTCAGCACCTACCCCCAACCTTAACAGTGCTGTGAATTGCAACAGAAATTCAATCTTAACTCCTCACCTACCTATAAACATATAACCTTGCCCCTAACCACGGCCTCAAAACTCAACCAGCCTGAGGCTCCCTCAAGTCTAATCAGTCTAAAGTATAAGCCCTACCCTAAATCCAACCCTGTCTATAACAATTAAACGCATCCATTGTCTTAACCTCTAGTAACCCTGGGGGAAATTTCCTATTTTCCGGGGAGGGAAAATGCCATCGTGTCATATTTATCTCTTTCTTGTTGGAAGTTGACATTTCTTACCCACAGTTATAGGGGGCAAATTTAGATGCAAGTTGGGGAAAGGAGTATGCGTCTCACTTTGCCAGCAGGCCTGGCGCAGACATGCCTTCTGGAGAGCTTTACTTCCTGAGGCGATGTGGGAGAAATGTACCCCGCACCTGTACCTTCTGTCACTGGGGGAGGGGCCCCGGTCGCAGTGCCACCTAACTGAGAGAAGGGCTCTGACGTGGCTGTTCTCCCCACTCCTCAGGTCTGGTTCCAGAACCGCAGAGCTAAGCAGAGGAAGCAAGAACGGTCACTGCTCCAGCCACTGGCCCACCTTCTGTCTCCTGCCACCTTCTCTGGTTTCTTGCCCGAGTCCCCTGCTTGCCCCTACTCCTACTCAACACCATCTCCACCGGGCACCTGCTTTCCTCACCCCTACAATTATGCTCTTCCCTCTCAGCCCTCTACAGGTGGTTCCTTTGCTCGACCCCACCAGTCTGAAGACTGGTACCCCACCTTGCACCCAAACCCCGCTGGTCATCTGCCCTGTTCCCCGCCCCCACCCATGCTTCCTCTCAGCCTTGAGCCACCGAAGTCCTGGAACTAAGGTCAAACAAGTGCTGATAAGATAATTGCCTAGCCCGTGGCCTTCAGGAAACACAGAGAAAACTAGGCAGTTTCCTTTCCTTCTAAGAGTAAAGTAGAAATGTGGTGAGGGGCAGCTCAGAGATTAGAAATTTAAAAATGGGAGATCATGATAAAGGCTCAAAGAGGTAACTGAGAGAATTTAGGGAGGTGAACCGACTGGAAGATACACAAAACCCTCAGTAGAGGTGACCAGAGGAAGGGTAGTTTTGATGGTAGCAATGGTTGCTGCTGGTGTATAAAAAGGGTTGAAAGAGAAAGAACTTGTGGGGGCTTCGTTCATTGAGACCACGATTTAAGATCTTCATCCCAGCTGTTGCTGGCTGATTTCAGGAAGGCCTTCCATGTAAAGCCTGCCCATACATTCTTTCCCAGTGACCCACCCACCCCCCAAATCAGTCACTGACTTTTGTTCATTCCATCCTAGAAGTATCACCTGAATGTATTTGTCTTCTCCATTCCAGCAGACACTGCTTTTGCTAGCTCAGCATTTTCTAATTCCCCTCATTGGTTCCCTTAGCTTCAGTCTTTCCCACTTCCAACAGACCTTGCAAATCCAGTCATCAAAGAATGACTCCCCAATGTCTTATAAAAAATAAATACGATCTGATTAGCTTAGCCTGTAAAAGACTTGACATTCTTTGAACCTAACTTTTAAGTTGACTGCACGTTGTTGTTTTTTCTTGGATGTGTGTTTTTTTAATTGAAAGGAAGATTTTTTTTTATGTGTAAATACCGTAAAGATTGTGCAGAAATGTATATGGTCTAAGCCAGGCAGTTCCATTTGCAGCACTGTTTTATATGTAGTTACATAATGTGATTATAGCTTTTTTTAAAAAATCCTCACTCAAGGATATTTTTTCCATTGTTTTTCAGAGAGAGTGGAAGGGAGAGAGAAACATCAATGTGAGAGAGACACATCCATTGGTTGCCTCCAGCTCTCACCCCAACCGAGGCTGGGGATCGAGCCTTCAACCCGAGGTTCGTGCCCTTGACAGGAAATTGAACCCGCCACCCTTCAGTTCGAGGGCCAATGCTCTAACCACTGAGCCAAACCGGCTACTGCTAGAGCTGGCATTTTCTAATTTTGCATGCAAAAAAATTAATTTCTGCACCTAAAGACAACTGCATTTTGGCCTTGTTAAGCTGATATCATTTCTAGTTAAGTCTTCCCATTTCTGTAAAGCACTTGCAAGTAAAGTCTTCTTATCAAGAGTATTAATGAGGGCTGGGGTCTGGGAGTTTCCAGCCTTGAAAGCATAACTTCCCATGTTAATTTTAGTTTTATTTTGGGATCTGTATAGTCTGAACAAATTTTTCTAGGGATGTTATGTAGTGGGTCAAAGTGTGCTGCTTATGGGTTGAACTCCACGAGGCTCTCAGCCCTCAAGTTGCATTCAACCCTCTACATGCCTTGGTATCTCTCCCTGGCTGTCTAATAGGTGACCAACCTTCATATGTGCATCCCCGAACAAGTCAATTGTTTAATTACAGTTGAGTCGGAATTTCCCTATGGGGCTCCTGCATGTTGTGAGAAATGACCTCTAACACCTTTACAAAGATTATTAGTTACCTAAGAACACCCCCAAGATTCAGGCTGGAAGGAGGAAATGCCCCTTATCTTCGGAGGTGAGTTCAGCTATCACTTATCCAGCAAAAGGTTTTTTGTTCAGACTCTCAGAAAGCAATTCCAGCTGAAAAGCCAAAGTTAAAAACCAGCTACCTATTTTTATTTCCTGTCTCGCCTTATCCTAGGGTCTGCCAACCCTTAACCTTAGTTCCACCTCAAGGATTTAAAAATACAGCTCAGATAAAGTCAGGCCCTCTACCACAAACAAAGGAAGGTCTTGAATCCAAGAGACAACTCACCCAAGTTCACCCAGTACAGTGGGTACCAGTGGGCTCAACGGGCCCCTTGCTGGATCCTACCATTGGGTCCAGGTCCGGGTCAGCGGGGCGGTCCTGGGTGAGCTTCTTTGGAATCCTGCTGCAATACTCCAGGTAAATGTCAATGTAAAAAACATTCAAACCTGTAGAAAATTGTTGTGAGTTTATTTGAGCCAAACTATTGACAGTTGCTAGGAAGCAAAACCTCAATGGATTGAGAAAATGCTCCAGAGAATGGCAGTTTGCATCTTTTTTTTTTTTAAGAAATTTTATCTTTTTTATGTTTTTATTGATTTTAGAAAGAGAGGAAGAGAGATGGATAGAGAGAGAGAAGCCTCCTGCACACCCCCTACTGGGGACTGAGCCTGCAACCTGAGTATGTGCCCGCACTGGGAACCGAACCAGCGACCTCTTGGTTCATCTTGGTTCATGGGTTGATGCTCAACCACTGAGCCATACCAGCTGGGCTGCATCTTATTTTATACATTAGAATCAAAGGAGAAGACCTAAGGGGGCTACATGAAATCCATTGGTGAGAGATTAGGAAGGAAGAAGAAAGCAAAGCTGGGAAACTTCTGCGATCGGATAAAAGTAAAATAAGGCCTGGTCAGTGAGGCTCAGTTGGTTGGAGCATCTTCCTATGCACCAAAGGGTGGCAGGTTCAATTCCTGCTCAGGGAACATATCCAGGGTTGGGGTTTGATCCCCAGTTGGGGTGCATGCAGGAGGCAACTGATCGATGTTTCTCTCTCACATCATGGTTTCCTTTCTCTCTGTTTCTCTCTCTAATAAATAAATAAAAATTAAAAATAAAAGTAAAATGATAGACACATGCCTCTTTTACATAATTGGGTGCAGGATAATTAACAGTCAACAATTAATTCAATAACAATGAGGGGATTGTGGTCTCCACTCTGGTGCAATCCCTGTGCTTTGAAGGGTCTGGAAAAAGTAAATTACTTTGACATTCCAAAGGTATGTTATTGTAGATGCAAAAAGACAACAGACATGCTTAATTAAGGTAAAGACACTTTCCATCCTGCCCGGGAGAGGGCCTAGCCTGGGCCCGGTGGTCTGCCTGTGCATTTCTGCGCAACCTGGGCCCCAGTGATTCCATGGCACGAGGCAATTTACCAAACATGCCTTAAAAAGTGGACGTTTTAATACATTCAGCTTCTGTGAGACACCTCCATTGCTGGGCACATTCTACGGGGGGACTGGCTGGAACCTGCAGGGGCCCCTCGGGACTCTTGGAGACTGGAGGTCCCTGGCTGCTTCCAGCTCTACCACCCTCACCTTCCTGGACCTGGATTGCAGTGCTTCAGGCAGGACTAGGTCCCGAGTCTAGCTCATCTTCGGAACCCAGTGCAAATGGCACCTGCAGGATGCAAAAGTGCCTGCTCTGTCCCTGGACGAGCTCTCCAGGCTCTGAGCCCACAGTCCCTGCAACCTGGCAGGCACACCTGACTGACATCCAGGTATTGAGGACTTCCCTGAGCATCTTCGGTTTTTCCTTCAGAACCAAGGATCCCGGCTCCCGAGATTGACAAGAGGACAAGAAAACCCCAGCTCACTGCTTGCCCCGCATCTCTACCCAGTCCCACCTTCCTGTGCCCTGAGACAGGTTCGCGTGTACACAGAGACAGCACTAGACCTAAGCGAGGGAAGGGGCCAAGGCTTGGGATGGCAAGTACCCTGGACCACGAGAACTTCCCACCAGCTGCAGAGTCGCACTGCTGGGGGCTGACCAGAGGGCTCGCCAAGTGCTGAGCTCAGAGCAGGAGCACCCCCACGCACACTGATACTGTTCTGGCGGATCCTACCCCCCCACACAAGCGCTCATCCAACCAATCCTCCAGGTATCTTCCAGGTTGTTTTTTTCTGCATTCCCTCAGAACTAAAATGTCCACCCTTTCTTTTCAGAGCTAGAAACAAAAGTTAAACCCAAAGTCTCAGTAAAAACAGGGGCTCAGAGACCCCGCCTCTTTTGAATTTGGGCAATTAGCTTCTGAGTTTTCCAACTTCCTGCTCCACAGAGGTACACCTTCCACTCCCTCCGACCTACCCCTGGGATTAAGCCCCTCAACACAGAATGCCTAGAGGGTCCTTTACTGGCACCCAACTAAGAAGCCAAAGGTGGGATAGGGTTAAGGGTCAGCCCCGCAGAGTGGCTTACTGAAGGTATGAGTGTGTGTATGTGTGCATGTGTGTGTGTGTGTGTGTAAGGGCTACAAGGTCTGGATAGGCCTAGGAAAGAGACACATGGAAGAAGGTTTGGGGGCTCAGGGTATTCAAACTGTGTGCCCTTATCAATTTGTTTACAGGACTCTTGGGTTCACCTGAGCCCTGACATCCCCAAACCAGCAAATGGGAAGTGGGAAGCTAGCCTAGGGTACCTCAACTAGCATGGAGATGCTGCCATTTTCCAGGGTGAGATGGACTCATGTGCCCCAGATTAAGGAGGGCATGAACCTCAGGAACTCAGGTCTGGGGCCTAAGCTTGGCCAGGTGAGGGCAGTGGGGGAGTAACATGAGTGTAAGACAGCTGTCTTTCCACCATATAGGCTCTTTGGTCACAGAGACAGGAAGCCCAAGGTCAAAGAAGTTGGGTCCTCTCGCCCATCTTCAGAGCTGACCCTTGGCAAGCCACCTGTTCTGGCAGCCTGGGGAACAGCGAACTGCTGAGTTCCCAAGATTCCTACTACCACTTCTCCTTCCACTGTGATAGAGCTTCTGCTTTTGTTGTTGTTGTTGTTAGACCCTCAGATATGGAAGCTAGAATTCTGTGCATTTACTGGGCACTTACCTAGTGCCAAGATGGGAGTCAGATGCTGGACATTCCCTTTGAATCCAAGAAATTCTCACCAGACGCTGGGACATACAAGAAAAGGAGGACCATGTGAATCCAGCCTCTGAAAGACAGAGGAAGAACAGAAGGCTCTGAGAGGAGATTCACACCCCCACAAACACACACACTTCAGGAACATTGTCCCCACTCTGCTGAGCTCCTCTTCCTTGGTTAAATTTATTCCAAGGTATTTTCTTCTTTTTGATGCAATTTTAAATGGGGTTGGTTTCTTAATTTCTCCTTCTGATGATTTATTATTAGTGTATAGAATCATGACAGATTTCTGTATATTAATTCCATATCCTGCTACTTTTCTGAATTTATTTATTAATTCTATTACTTTTTGGATTCTTTAGAGTTTTCTATATATAGTATGATGTCATCTGCAAAGAGTGATGGTTTTAACTCTTCCTTTTCAACTTGAATGTTTTTTATTTATTTTTCTTGTCTCATTGCTGTGGCAAGGACTTCCAAAACTCTACTGAATAATAGTGGTAAGAGTGTGCAGCCTTGTCTTCTTCCTCATTTTAGAGGGAAAGCTTTCAGCTATTCAACATTTAGTATGATGTTAGCTGTGTGCTTGTCATATATGGCCTTCATAATGTTAAAGTAAGTTCTCTCCTTTTTTTTCCCCAATATGTTTTTACTGATTTTTTGAGAGAGAGAGGAACGGGGAGAGAGAGAGAAAGAGAGAGAAACTTCAATGTGAGAGAGAAACATCAATCAGTTGCATCCCGTACACACCCTGACTGAGAATCAAACCCACAATGTGGTTATGTACCCTGACCAGGAATCAAACCAGTGGGCTTTTGGTACATGGGACAATGCTCAACCAACTGAGCTACACCAGCCAGGGCTCTTTTTTTTTTTAATTTAATTTTTTTTATTGTTGACATTATTGCAGATGTCCTCATTTCCCCACCCTTTGCCCACCTCCACCCGGCCCCCAACCCCACCTCCATTAGCCCTCACCACACTACTGTCTGAGTCCATGGTCTACGCATATATGTTCTTTAGCTAATCCCTTTACCTTCCTTTATCGTCTCCCCTAACCCCCTCCCCTCTGACATTTGTCAGTCTGTTCCATGTATCCATGCCTCTGGTTCTATTTTATTCATAAAATTTTATATAGTGGGCCCGGCCAGGGGTGGCTCAGTGGTTGAGCGTCGACCTAGGATCCAGGCGATCGGGGTTCGATTCCTGGTCAGGGCACATGCCCAGGTTGTGGGCTGCAGCCGATCAATGACTCTCTCATCATTGATGTTTCTATCTCTCTCTCTCCCTCTCCTTTCCTCTCTCTCAAATCAATAAAGATATATATATTTTTTTAATTTTATATAGTGAGATCATATGATATTTGTCTTTCCCTGACTGGCTTATTTCACTTAGCATAATAATCTCCAGTTCCCTCCATGCTGTCCCAAAGGGTAAGAGCCTCCTCTTTTACAGCTGCATAGCACTCCATTGTGTGAATGTACCACAGCTTTTTAAACCAGTCATCTACTGATAGGCACTTGGGCTGTTTCCAGATCTTGGCTATTGTAAATCATGCAGCTATGAACGTAGGAGTGTATATTTTTTTTTCTGATTGGTGTTGTGGGATATTTAGGATATATACCAGAAATGGGATTGCTGGGTCAAATGGCAGTTTGATTTTTAATTTTTTGAGGAAACTCCATACTGTTTTTCCACAGTGGCTGCACCAGTCTGCATTCCCACCAGCAGTGCACTAGGGTTCCCCTTTCTCCACACCCTCATTAGCACTTGTTGTTTGTTGGTGTATTGATAGTAGCCATTCTGACAGGTGTGAGGTGGTACCTCATTGTGGTTTTAATTTACATCTCTCTGATGAGTAGTGACATTGAGCATTTTTTCATATGTCTGTTAGCCATCTATATGTCCTCTTTGGAGAAGTGTCATTCAGGTCTTTTGCCCATTTTTTAAATTGGATTTTTTGTCTTCCTGGTGTTAAGTTGTATAAGTTCTTTATATATTCTAGAGATTAAAGCTTTATCAGATGAGTCATTAGTAAATATGTTCTCCCATATGGAAGATTCCCTTTTCATTTTAAGGCTGGTATCTTTTGCTGTGCAGAAGCTTTTTAGTTTGCTGTACTCCCACTTGTTTATTGTTTTCCTGTGTTTCCCTTTCCCTCAGAGACATATCAGCAAAAATATTGCTCCTAGAGATGTCTGAGATTTTACTGCCTGTTTTTTTCTAGGATTTTTTATGGTTTTGATACTTACATTTAAGTCTTTTATCAATGGTTCAGTTTATTCTTGTGTATGCTGTAAATTGGTGGTCTAGTTTCTTTCTCATGCATGTCCCTGTGCAACTTTCCCAGCACCATTTTTTTTTTTTAATATATCTTTATTGATTTCAGAGAGAGGAAAGGAGAGGGAAAGAGAGAGATAGAAACATCAATGATGGGAGAGTCATTGATCGAGCCCGCAACCCAGGCATGTGCCCTGACAGGGAATCAAACCCCGATCGCCTGGATCCTAGGTCGATGCTCAGCCCTGAGCCACACCCTGCCGGGCCCCAGCACCATCTTTTGAACAGACTGTTTTTACTCCATTGTCTACTTTGTCAAATATTAATTAACAAAAAGGGTGTGTGTTAACTTCTGGACTCTCAGTTCTGTTCCATTGATCTATATGCCTGTTCTTGTGCCATTACAAAGCTGTTTTGAATACAGTGGCTTTGCAGTATAGTTTGATATCTGGTATTGGGATCCCTCCAACTCCAACGTTGTTCTTCTTTCTCAAGATTGTAGAGGCTAATCGGGGTCTTTTTTGGTTCCATACAAATTTTTGGAATATTTGTTCTACATCTGTGCAATATGCCTATGGTATTTTAATAGGGATTTCGTTGAATCTGTAGATTGATTTGGGTAGTATGGACATGGTATATGCTTCCACTTGTTTGGATCTTGCTTTATTTTCTTCAGTGTTCTATAGTTTTCCAAGTACATGTCTTTTACCTTGTTGGTTCAGCTATTCCTAGGCACCTTTTTTTTTATTGTTTTTGCAATTGTAAATGGGATTGTTTTCTTAGTTTTTATTTCTGAGAGTTTTTTATTGATGTATAAGAATGCCACTGATTATTGGATGTTAATTTTGTATCCTTCTACTTCGCCTCTTTTTGGTGAAGTCTTTAGGGTTTTCTATGTACAATATCGCACCATCTGTGAACGACAGTTTTACTTCCTCCTTTCCAATGTGGATGCCTTTTATTTCTTCCTCTTGTCTGATCACTGTGACCAGGACTTCCAGTACTATGTTGAATAAGAATGGTGAAAACTGACATCCCTGTCTTGTTCCTGATCTTAAGGGAAATGCTTTTCATTTTGCCCATTGAATATGATATTGGCTGTAGGTATATGGCCTTTATTATGTTCAAGTATGATCTGTCTATTGCCACCTTGCTGAGAGTTTTCTGCATCTATTGATATGATCATGTCATTTTGATCTTTCATTTTTTTATATTATGTATCACATTTAATTATTAATTTTTAAACACTTCTTTAATTCTGGGGGGGGGGAGTTGTTATTTTTTTAATCCTCACCCAAGGATATATTTTTATTTATTTTTAGAGAGAGAGGAATGGAGAGGGAGACAGAGAGATAGAGAGGGAGAGAGAGGGATCGGGGGTGGGGGGGAGAGAGAGAGAGAGAGAGAGAGAGAGAGAGAGAGAGAGAATATGGATGTGAGGGAGAAACATCCATCAGTTGCTTCCACACGTGCCCTGAATGGGGATCTAACCCACAACCCAGGTATGTGCCCTGACTGGGAATTGAACCCATGACCATTCGGTACATGGGACAACACTCTAACCAGCTGAGCCACACCAACCAAGGCGGTACCGCATTTATTGATTTGTGGATGTGGTACCAGCCTTGCATCCCTGAAATAAATCCCACTTGGTCATGGTGTATGATCTTTTTAAAGTATTGTTGGATCCAATTTGCTAATATTTTGTTGAAGATTTTAGTATTTATGTTCATCAAGGATATTGGCCTGTAATTTTCTTTCTTTGTAGTGTCTTTATCTAGTTTTGGAATTAGGATAATGCTGGCCTCATGAAAACAGCTTGGAAGCCTTCCTTTCTCTTGAATTTTTTGGAAGAGTTTGAGGAGGATAGGTGTTAGTTCTTTTTTGAATGTTTGATAAAATTTGCCTGTGAAGCCATCTCATCCAGGACTTTTGCTTGCTGAGAGGTTGTTGTTTTTATTAATGCTTCAATTTCATTAGTTGTTATCAGTCTGTTCATATTTTCTGATTCTTCCTGATTCAGCTTTGGAAGGCTGTATGTTTCTAGGAATTCATCCATTTCATCACATTGTCCAATTTGTTGGCATACAGTTGTTCATAGTATTTTCTTACAATTCTTTTTATTTCTGTGATGTCTGTTGTTACTTCACCTCTTTTATTTCTGATTTTATTTATATGGGTTCTCTCTGGTGTGTTTTTTGTTTGTTTGTTTGTTTGTTTTTTGCGAGTCTGGCTAAAGGTTTATCAATCTTATTTATCTTTTTAAAGAATAAACTCTTGATTTAATTGATCTTTTGTATTATTATTTTTTTTTTTAGTCTCTATGTCATTTATTTTCACTCTCAACTTTATTATTTCCATCCTTCTGCTGTCTCTGGATTTTTATTATTGTTCTTTTTCTAGTTCTTTTAGGTGTAAGGTTAGATGATTTATTTGAGATTTTTCTTGTTTCTTGAAGTAGGTTTGTATAATTATGAACTTCTCTCCTAAAACTGCTTTTGCTGCATCTCCAAAATTTTGGAAACTTCAGTATTTTCACTTTCATTTGTCTCAAGTTAGTTTTTGATTGCCTGTTTGGTTTCCTCTTTGATCCATTGATTGTTTAGTATCATGTTGTTTAATCTTGACATATTTATGTGTGTTTTTTCAGTTTTCTTCCTGTAGTTAGTTTCTAGTTTTATGCCATTGTGATCAGAAAATACACTTGATATAATTTCAATCTTCTTGAGTTTATTGAGGTTTGTTTTGTGGCCTAGTAAGTGGTCTATCCTGGAAAATGAGAAAAGTGTA